CCATGAATAGTTGTATTAGCGCATTGACATCACCTTGCTCTATTCATTCCCTTCTTTCTCTTTGAATAAAATTGTATGCATCTCTTTTCGTGCATTCTAGGTTCTCCACCCCCAACCTCCGTGGTCATAAAGTTATATGCATCTGTTGCTCTAATCACAACTCCTGTCATTGATCCAAGCAAATAAGTATTTAACTCACTTATTTTTCTGCTAGAACGCAAAAGATGCTTATCGCCACTTTCGGCAAGAGGTGGTTATGGCTTTTAATGAATTTCTTAACAATCCAATTTCCTTCAACATCGATGACATATTTAACCATGACTTAACATCCAGTCCTTGTGTCAGCTTTTTTGAACTTCATAGTATCTTCTGTCAGGCTTGACTCCTTGTGGCCAGCCTTTCCACAAATAAAATCTTTAGTTTTAGTCTTCTTCGAGTTTGGCCAATAGCTGCTATGATCCTTTATGACAAAAAAGCCTATATGATGTGCATAGACACAGTAGCATTCATATGTTTCTTGATCAATGTGCACATCGATACGAAAAAACGTTTCTGCGATTGGATAATTGCACTTCACATCACCACCCCATTTTAAAAATAGTCAGATAGATATAAGACAAACAATAACAACACAATAACAGTACAAAAACTATACAATAACATCACAATAATACTACAAAACTATACAATAACATCACCACAATAATACAACACTGACACCACTACAATTATTCAATCCCTAAACAATAACACCACTGTAACACTAGAAAAAGTAAACAGTAACATCACATAACACCTCAGTAGCACGACAGTAACACGACAAAAATACCTAAATAATACAACAATAACTCTACTAGGACAATACAATCCATAAACTCTAAACGATAACACACTATACCCTAAGCTCTGACAATAACGCGATTATAACATTAGAAAAACTTAACTATAACATCACATAACACTTAAATAACACGACAATAACATGAGAATAATACAACAATATTACAAAGATAATATTATCAAAACGGTACAATCCCTAAACCCTAAACCGTAACAATAACATCACTATAACAGTAGAAAAACTAAATTACAACACCACATAACACCTTAATAAAACAACAGTAATACGACAATAATACAATACAAAACCATAAATAAAACAAACAAAAAGTAACACAGCCCTAACACTATAATAATCCTCAAACCTAAACTAAAATAACAAACCTAAACACCAGCATAACACCAAAAAATAACACCACACTAACTATAAACTAAAAGAACTAACAAAAAACATGCTAGAACCCACATAACAATGCAATGCAACAATAAATTAAACCCTAAACTAAAACAAACTCACTTCTGATTTAAGCTTCTCAACATTATTTAATGATTCCATTTCTTTTCTGGAGAAATCCAAAGCACCCGCACAAGCTTGACAGAATCCTCTTGTTTTGGATTGGCAGCGGCATAAAGTGGGACATTAAGACTTTTTGGCGGGATTCTATATGAACAATAAGTCACTTTTTCTCGTCTTGGGTGGGGTCGAGTTTTAGACGGGCCGGGACGCCTGTCTTAATTAATTTATTTTACCTTATGCTGCGGTGGGTCCCAAAATTGCATGTGGCAAGCTTCCATTCGACTTCACTTACAACTCTTCTTGCGGTTTCTGAATTAAATAAGCGCTCCGTGAGATTATAAAGAGGGGGTAAGAGAAGTCCCAATTTATGGAGAGAACTATGAAATATAAAATAATTTAAAATAATTTTTTATATATCATTTGTGTTATTTTAAAAATAATTATATAATCTAAAATAATCTAAAAATTTATAATATTTTTATAAAATTAAATTCTGTAAATTATAATATATAACAAATTATTATTAATAATATATTACTATTAGTAATATAAATATTATATATTTATAAAATATAACTTTTATAATTAATAATATATATATATATAAATTAAAAGAAAAAAACTCTAAGCCAGGTACCACTTACCCGCAGTCGGTGGTAAGTAAGGTTTATATTATTATTACTATTATTTTTTATTACACAGATGTGAAACACAGTTTCATAGTGTCATAGTGGTGGTGGGTTAAGGATTACATCATTTATTTTGTTAAGATGTGTTACTAAAATTTATTTTGTCCGGATAATTTTGTTAAAAATTATTATAGGTAAGAATTTTTTTTTATAAACATGTATTATATGCTAAAATTTTACTTATTAGATGTGGACTTATATGGAATTCGCACATACGAAGGGTCTGTTTGGGACAGCTGCGACTTCTCAGCTTTTCAGTTGTGGCTACTAAAATATTACCTATTTGATGAGCTAATAAACTCTTTCAGCACTAGATATAGCAACAACCTTGGAGTTTTGGCTAAACTATGACATAAGCTGAATCATGTTGATAGTTGAAAGGGGCATTTACATACACACCAACTAAATCCTATGTATTTATATATCTAAACACCTAAACTTTACCTTTTATATTTATACCGTTCAAATCCTTTAAATCATAATGGGTGATATGAATGTATAAATATAATTTTAGGTGTGTGTTATGTAAATGCAGATGAATTGTGTGATATGTATGTAAATTAACAAATAAGAACATGCAATACATAGCCTTGAAAATCAAAGGCAAACATGGGCCACATAATGGAAGTGTTTCTTTCAATAGAACTCTTATCAGCAAAAATAAAAAATAAAAAATACAAAGCTCTCCTGCTTTAACTTAAAGCTATAAGAAATTTAAAGCTGCTACAATTTATATATGTAAACGAGCAGAGCTTGCTCAGTCTTGACTCGTGTTCGGCTCGTTCGAAATATCTCGTGTTCGAAATCGGCTCTTGTTCGAAATTGGCTCGTGAACAGTGTGTTCGTGTTCGACTCGAATTAAATATTCGCTCTATACAAAAGAAAATACTAATCACATTGTCACATGAGATGTTATGATTTAAACTTAGTAAATAATATATATAATATATTATTATATTAATAAATATATGTTTTTTTTTTAATTTCGAGTTAAAACGAGCCGAACACGAGCGAACAAAGAGCTGTTCATGTTCGGCTCGTTTATAATTTGAGTTTTAAAAACTTATTCGTGTTTGGTTCGTTTGTTTAACACGAACTACTTGACGAGCTGAACACCTATTGTTCGCGAACAACGAACTTTTTTGACAGCCCTATAAACAAGTCAAGAAGTTAGGAAAGAACTTACTTACAAACGATAAGCATTAAAAGACTTTCGAAGACATGGAAATTAATACCTATCGCAATATTTTGAGTGGTATGCATTTAATTGCCCCAAGGAATGAATAAACATGGAAATTAATACCTAAAGAATGTAAGATAGAGCAAAACTACATGAACGACGAGAAACGATGACATCTTAAGGATTTAACCAAACACTCGGAAATAATTAGATTAATCCACATTTGTCAAATTAATCCACCTTTGTCAGGCGCGTATTTTCTGTCCGGACACCTGACGTACCTCTACGTGCGGTGCAGGTTATTCCTGATTTATTTTCAAGTTATTTCTGGGTTATTTTCAATAATCCCGAAATAACCCAGAAATAAGCCAAAAATAAAGGCCGTGGGTCATTTTTGGGTTATTTCGGGATTTTATTTTTGGATTATTTCGAAATTATTGAAAATAACCAAGAAATAAGCTGAAAATAACTCAGGAATACCCTGCACCGCATGTAGAACTACGTCAGGAGTCCGCACAAAAAAACTTTTACTTTGTCAGATCCTCTCAATTCGTCCCAAGAAACAAAATTTAAAAAACAAATTACATATTTTTATTGCTTCAAAAAAATTTTTTTTTTTTGAGTTCTTACATATAAAACACCCAAAACTTCAAATACAAGGTCTCTGATATAGGAAATCCAAAAACACATTAAATAAAATAAAATTCCTTTTTAAGCAATGTAATAGAAAGAAACAGATGACGCTAAACTTTCACATTACCTTCAAGCGATCAAACTTTGAAATCATCTTCTTGCAAAAGCTTCATGAAAGAATACTTGTACCAACTCCATGATTCACTTGATATCCTGGAAAAGCATACGATTAAAGATAGCATAACCAGCAAAAATGAAAATCACTGAAGAGATGGGGAAGAAACTGCTGAATGAGAAGCAGTGCAGAGTAGAATAGAGCATATAGCTGATTATGCTTTTTATGCATAAGCATACCCTGTGCAGGAAAATTTTGAAACAAATCCTTACTCAGAAAATGATTACATTAAAATTCTTTCTAGCACTCATTCAACTATTTCCAACAGAACATGACCCGGAAAGTTCTTCTTTAGCATTTTATAATGAAAATATTAATCACATCAAAAATAGTAGAGACAAACTTGTTTCATTTCCACGATTTCCATCCAACAAAATATGCAACAATGGAGATTCACCGAATACATCAGAGCTATTTATATGCCCACTTACCTCACAAAAGGTCTCTGTATAGGGAAAATTTATTGCATACATACATCGCATGCGGTGTCCGATCCTAACCATATATCACGGTGATCTACTGTCATGATGTATTTCGGTGGGCCTTAAAAATTGAAGTGGGCCCCACCGAAATACATCCTGACCGTAGATCACCGTGATCTACGATCAAGATCGGACACCGCATGCATCTCTGCATGCGGTGTATGTATTCAATAATTTTTCCTGTATAGGACTACATTTTCTGATGTCATCAATTCTCGTTAAACTTCCTCAAGCCCTTTGCTTATGGCTTGCATTTCTTCTGCTAAAGCTTTTAACTGAATCTGCAAAAAGTTGCTCTCATAAGTTATTTACTCATTATAAAACATAAAAATAATCTTGCAAAATCAATATACCATAGAAGCAACTTCCAGGCTAACAAGATCCTCGGGTGAAGGTAATTTATACTCTCAAATAAATGATGAAGATCGTGATCTTAATGTCAGCACAATCACTTGATTGAAGGTAATTCATTCACTATTTTTAGATAAAAGGAGTGGGAGTGGCAAGCAAGCAATGCCATAATTGTCCATGGAAATAAAAATCCAATACTTCATACAAAAGAGTAAAAGCAAGGTGAAAAAGAATTTAACATAACAAAACATCTTGAAAAGACAACTATCACAGAGGAAAGAAAACAAAGCTTGCTCCAGCTACCTAGCTCTTGTTGCTTAGCTTGCTCTTCCAAATGCAGCAGTTCTGCTAAAGCCGGGCCTGCTTCGCCTATTTGTGGACCTGCTCCTTAACCTGATTCAAAAATACCTGTCCTATGCAAAGTTTTCTCAAAAACTCTCTGCTGTCCCATGCAAATGGCTCATCCATTGTACCTCGTCGAGCCTGTTACATTAGAGATAGAAATTGATTAACCTTGTAAATACATCATGTGCAAATGATGATGAAAATGAGCATTCTAACATGCATTGGAAAGACAAAAACATAATTTTTGTGCCTGCCTGGATGTACAAGCATAATGTTGGGATAGATGGAAATATGCAATCAGGCAAAGTCGTTGTGTAAAAACACAAACATTTCATACAAGAAACTTTTACATATCGTATCACTTAGTACAACTAAGCTTCAATCTTTTAATATATATGCCAACCTTACCTATACATAAGAGGGATTAATAACTTTTTAAAGTTAAAATAATGGTATTTTTTATGTGATATGAGATATTTGGGTGGTATAAATGTAAAAAGTATAGGTTAGGTATTAGATATGTAAATAATTAAGAATTGGGTGGTATGTACATGAATGCCCCTTCAAATAAATAATTAAGTTGTCATTTCAGAAGGGAAAACTAAAGTACTTCCATTCTTACCATAAATTTGCTCTTTTAAATAGCTAATAAAAAGAGAAACATGATTGACACTTGGATCACGAGCTTTGTTGACAGCCCTACATGCAACATCGTTAGATGTATGAGTCAAATAAAAGTTGCAAATTGCAAATATTCATCACGTAAGGTCCCATGATCTTTTCCCTTTCCAGGCTCCTTCCTTGATTTTTTTCTCCTCCTCTTCCTCGTCTCTTGGGCCCTCTCCCTTGTTTTCTTCCTCCTGTTGGTGTTGAATTTCACTCCACCCTAGGCTCTAGTAAACAAAAACGTGTGTCATCTTTGCTAAGGAACTCTCATTGATTGTCTGCTAGACATGTCAGAGACAATTTTCTTCTTTGCAACAGTGCAAAAGAAGCTCTCGTTGATCGTTTACTAGGCATGTTGGAGATTACTTTCTTCTCTAAAGTAGCACAACCAAAAAAATGTGAAAGATGATCTTGTTGATCGTCTTCTAAGCAGGTCTGAGACAAAATTTTTCTTCCTTAAAAAAAAAAAAGTGACAACAACACGAAAGAAAATCTCGCTATCACCTACTAAGGAAGTTCATGATAACTTTCTTCTTCACAACAACGTGAAAATGGCTTTTGTTGATCGCCGATACACAACTTTCTTTTTCCTCTCCTCTTGCTCCTTCTCTTGGATCTTCCTCTTCAGCCTCTTAAATTTTTCTCCTCCTCTTCCTTCTCTTGTTGGCATTTCTCTCACATTTTTTTCCTCCCTTTGCTGCTGAATTTCACTCCCCCTGGGCTCCTTTTTATAAACCCAAGGGGCTTATATCTTACATATTTTGGAGTTTGGACTCAAATATTACATATTTTTAGTTTCATTTGGATCCACCTTTTCAACCAAACCGCCTTAATACCGTCCCTTGGATCCACCACCTTAACCGCATATGTACATTATAATCTTATATTAAAAAATATATATAAGATTATAATATATATACATACATACATACATATAATCTTATATTAAAATAAACAAAAACCTGTATGCATACATTGTCCATTTGTTAATGAGAGTTCCTTATCAAGGACGAAAGGTCGATGGCCAAATTTAACCACTTGGTTGGCTCAACCTTAGCCGATCAAGGTAATCTCACCAACCACTTGTCAATAAAATGTCTCCCAACTAATAGCTTCGAGCCTAACAACCCGACAATCTTTTATTAGACCAGGTTGACAACCTAAACCTCTTTAAGCTTAGCCGACCGACAACGCTTATTAAAGGCTCACCAGTCCAGACAACCAAACTTCAAAATGGTCAGATTTTGAGCCCACATCAGTAAAATATCTCTAATATCATATATAATCTCATACATATAACTTCACATATTATAACCTCTTTTTCTATAAATAGAAGATCATTCTATGAAAAAAATATTACACACTTCTCTAAAATTATTGTTCATAACAATGCATTTCTATCTTTGTCTCTCTTTTATCTTACACTATATTATTTGGGTTGATTCACTAAAAAATCAGGACTCAACAATCATAGAACACAAACTTACCCTTATAAGGCCCATTATAGAAATAAACAACCCTAAAATAACGAAACTAATTGGAAGAAAAATTTATATCTATGCGCAAGATGATATGCTTGAATATGTACTACATTACAATATTGATTATTGACAAATAATAAATAAGAATGATAAATCATAACATTGAAAATATTACCATCTATAAAATTGCCATTCTCTATAATTATTTTTAAATTCTCACTCCAATATCAAAATTCACAATGCCACATTAACTCATATTTCTTTCAAATCTGCATATAAATGTATCAATTTTATAATTCAAAAATATTATAATTAAAAATATTCACCTTATTGCTCTTTTTTTTTTTTTGATAAATAATAATATTTCAAATTCTATGTATGTAATAATGCCCACAATTTAACATAAATATGAAACAATTCCTCATAAAGTACTATTTTTAGATTATTTTACCTTTTCTCCTCAGATGTTTATATTAAAAGACACTTCCACGCACATCCAGAAACAATAAGAAAACGCGTTAGAACTAATGAAAGCCATATCTTTCAATTACTTGATACACTCAATGTATCTTCCAACCAATTAGCACTTATCACCATCACCAAAACGAGCTACCTCAACTCTAACTCCATGAAACGCAATCAAAATTTCATTTTCCACATCATTTGAAATAAGTCCACATTCAAAACAAATACTACATCACATCCAATCTTTCACTCTAACCCCCAAAACAAAACAAAACAAAACAAAACAAATACTACATCACATCCAATCTTTCACTCCAACCCCAAAAACAAAACAAAATTGCAGAAAAAGCAAAAAAACACAAAACTTTAAGCACCAACCTAATCCATCATGTCCTCATCATCATCCTCATCATCAGCCTTAATCTTCATCTTCTTCACAACCTGCGCAGCGCCATCACTGGCGGTCACCGTAGATGGTACATCGATCAATATATCAGATTTTAGTCCGGTGAAGGCATTGACCATTCCGCCATTCTTCTCCACCCTGTAAGAGAGCTCCTTCTTCCCCGGCACGATGTCAATGTACACTGTGGAGTTCTCGTCAATTTCTTCCCTAATCAACATTCTTGACAGCTCTGTAACCACTCTCTTCTCCAGCCATCTTCTAATGGGTCTGGCGCCAAATATCTGCATACAGGCGTTACAACAAGAGTTAGTATTATACATAAATCAATCAAATCTAAGGATTTAAACAGAGCAATATAACTTGATATTGACATACATGCCATCCCATTCCTATGCAATTACACATGTAGCACCTAAATTTTATATTCATGTATACAATGGTAATTATGTGAAATTTGAAATTTAAGTGTTGGATATGTAAATACATAAGAATTGAGCGGTATGTATGTAAATCTTTCTAAATTTTATATTAAAAATGTGATAATTTTATTATTCATCTTTGATTTCAAGTTAAATGTCATATCACTCAATGCAGAGTACTAATTAAATGATATGAGTGAGAATTCAAAAAATGGATGAAAGAAGGTACAAGATTTGTAAAAAATCAAATTGCCCAACGAAGAAAATTATGCAAAGAAGGAAAAAAAATTTCCTAATATAATAATATGAGAATCAAACTAAATTAAATTATGCAAACAAGAAAAATTTTTTTTCCTATGATGATGTGTTTAAAAACAACAAATGATGAATGAGTTGAAATTGAATCACTTACAGGATCATAAGATTCAGATAACACAACATCAAGAGCAGCATCTGTTACGCCCAACGCAATTCCTCTCTCAGCCAAACGAACAGCTACATCCTTCATCTGAAGCCTCGCCACCTTCCTCAATTGATCATGGGACAATGGATCAAATATAACAATCTCATCCAACCTATTGAGCAGTTCAGGCCTGAAATGTCTCCGCACCTAAGAATTAAAATTAAAAATCTTAACATATTTTATAACCAAACAATACACAATACCTCAAATAATCTGATGTACTTACATATCCCTCTTAAAACTTTTTATTTTTATTTTAGCCCTTTAAACTTATGCATAAGTAAAAGTGCAATCTTTGATGTGATTTTTTATTTTTATTTTAGCCCTTTAAACTTATGCATGAAAAAAAAATATTGACTTCTATAAATAAGTAAAAGTGCAATCTTTGATGTGATAATAAAATTTGAATGATTTATTTTTAATTTGAAAGTTCAGGTGCAAGCTTTGTAAGCTGATAAGAATTGTCATGTAATGCAAATAATATACTGCACACAATTCTCACAATTACTATACATTTACATTTCTTATCAGCTTACAAAGATAAGTGGGATATGTAAGTCTCACACATTATTTCTTTTCATACTCTCCATAATTTCATTATAATACAAATTAACTAATAAAACATATTTATATTTCAGTGAAAACATAACATTTATTTCATTCACCATAACAAATGTTGAATGATGAATATACAATATATTAGCATTATGAATTTATACATAAAAAAATAATTTTTAATGTGATATTAAAGATTTAAGTGTTATCTGTAAAAATAGAAAAGTTTAGTATAAGATTGGTAAGATACATAAATACATAAGTTATGAGATAGGTAAAATATATAAATACACAAGGATTGTGTATACCTCCTCCATCACACGCTCTCTGGCTATTTTCATTGAAGAATTGCCTAACATTCCAGCGAGAAGATGCTCAGCTCCAAGGTTCGAAGTCATAATAATGACTGTGTTACTGAAATCCACAGTCCTTCCCTGACCATCTGTGAGTCGGCCATCATCAAGCACCTGAAGCAACGTGTTGAAGACAGATGCATGCGCCTTCTCCACTTCATCGAAGAGCACCACACTATAAGGCCTCCTCCGCACAGCTTCAGTGAGTTGCCCTCCTTCCTCGTGCCCCACATATCTACACTCCAAAACAAAAATCTTCTAATTCAAGGAGATCTATCTAATTAAAAATATAATATTTGGATTAGGTGTGAATTATTGATATTGGGATGATATAATGGTCAACACCACCCCTGTACCACTAATTCAAACATGTTGATGACACACCTAATGTTTGCTCTTATGAGTATTGAAAAAAGAAATGGGATCTATCATACCCTGGTGGAGCGCCGATTAGTCGGGCTACAGAATGCTGCTCCATATACTCCGACATGTCAATTCGAACAATGAGGGTTTCATCATCAAACAATTGTTCTGCGAGGGCCTTAGCAAGCTCCGTCTTTCCAACACCAGTTGGACCAAGAAAGAGGAACGAACCAGTAGGTTGTTGAGGCCGACCAAGACCTGCCCTTGACCTCAGAACAGCCTCTGCAACTGCATCGACTGCTTGATCCTGACCTACGACTCTTTTATGAAGCCTCTCGGCAAGACCTATGAGTCTTTCCTTCTCGTTCTGGCCAAGCCTTGTTACAGGAATACCTGTCCATCGACTAACCACCTGGGACAAAGATATGGAGATTAAATGATTAAACATTCACTCAATACATAATAACTTAAAAACATAAAATTTAGATTTAGCAATGGAAGTTAAATGTTATATTACCTCTGCTATCTGATCAGGGCCTACATTTTCGGTAAGCATCAAGTTCTCACCGCCGGTTTCTCCTTCTAGTTGAACAATGGCGGCATCGATCTCTTGAAGAGCTCCATATCGTAAATCAGCAGCACGAGCTAAATCCATCCTACGTTCGGCTTCTTGCAATGCGAACAATAGTTCTTCACGCTTCTGCTTCAGTCTTCGAATTTCGTCTATTCTTTCCTTCTCTTTTCTGTATCTCATTACCAAAGGTTGCAACTTGTCCCTCAAATCATCCAATTCCTTTCTAACCTGAAAAAGGATAACATCAAATTTCAACATAAATATATAAAATTAAAGAGTTTTTATGTTGGTTAACAAATATTAGCTATTTACTTTGGTGAATCACGGACATGTTATTAATTCACTAATTCAAAGATATTTGACATCTAAAATTGAATTGTTGTTATTTCATATCATTTTTACATCTTTAAATGAATGATCTAAAAATTGTTCAATTGATTCAATTCTAGAGGCATCTTAATACAACAACATCTAGTCGGTAAAATAAATGAAAAAGAAACTAAATGAAATCATAATCATTGATCCTTTTAATGATGATGCAATGTTAAATCAAAATAAAATGAATCAAACAAATCATACTTTATTTTAAGAAAAACAAAATTTGAATATTATATCATCTTACTAATAATGCAATCTAACCATTTGAACATTAATAGTGCAATCTAGATAAATCTCACCTCAGTAAGCCGAGATTTGCTGGCTTTATCCTTCTCCTTTTCAAGAGCATGCATCTCAACTTCAAGTTGAATCCTCCTCCTCTCCAGATTATCAATCTCCTCAGGTTGGCTATCAAGCTGAACCCTCACATTTGCACAAGCCTCATCCACTAGATCAATTGCCTTGTCAGGCAGATGTCGTCCTCCAAAAACACAAATTGATATGTCAGTAGACAATAAAATTTTGATTTGATGAAGACAAAATAAATAAATTAATGATTTCATTTACCAGTTATGTATCTTGCCGAAAGTTGTGCAGCAACAACAAGAGCCCGATCTTGAATTCTAACCCCATGATGGCCCTCGTACCTCTCCTTCAACCCTCGGAGAATGCTAATTGTGTCTACAACACTGGGCTCAGCCACATAAACTTGCTGGAATCTTCTCTCGAATGCTGCATCTTTTTCAACATACTTCCTGTATTCTTCCAGTGTTGTAGCTCCAATGCATCGCAACTGCCCCCTTGCAAGCATTGGTTTGAACAAGTTCGCAGCATCCATGGAACCCTCCGTCCTACCAGCCCCAAGAACAAGATGAATTTCATCAATAAATAGAATAACCTTTCCTGCTGCATCTTCAACTTCCTTGAGCACGGCCTTTAATCTTTCTTCAAACTCTCCCCTGTATTTCGCTCCGGCGACCAACGCACCCATATCGAGAGCGATGAGCCTCACGTCGGCGAGATTGCTCGGTACATCACCTCTCACGATTCTCTGAGCCAAACCCTCAACAACTGCTGTCTTGCCGACTCCAGGCTCGCCAATGAGAACAGGGTTGTTCTTAGTCCGCCTAGATAGAATGCGAACAACACGGCGAATTTCTTCATCCCGGCCGATCACCGGATCTAGCTTCCCGGCCTGCTCCACCAGGTCGCGGCCATAGGTCTTTAGCGCTTGGAAATTAGTATCACCTGAAGCGCTCTCCACCTTCTTCCCCTCCTTTCCCCTAAGTTTCTCAACCTCGGATCTTACCCGAGATGCAGAGAGACCAGCCTCCTTAAAGCAATCCCAATGCCGAGAATAAGCTGGTCGACAGCGAGATGAGAATCGCCACGCTGCTTCTGCGACGATTGAGCCCTTCGAATAGCTTTGATGAGGGAAGTAGAGGCGGGAATCTCATCGGGAGGAGGATGCTGAGAGGGGATCTTCCTGAGAGCCTGATTCAGAACACGCTCGAAGGAGGCGACGGCAGAGTCTCCGGCGCCGCCAGAGGCGTTGGCGATGGCCTGGCGGAGAATACCGGCGGTATCGCCAGCGAGAGCGTGAGCTAGGTGGAGAGGGGTGAATTGCGCATGGCCGGAGCTGATGGCGAGCTCGTGGGCGTTGGCGATGGCCTCGTTGGTCTTGTGAGTGAACTTGTCTGGATTCATGGCGAGAAGAAATCGAGAATACCGTTAGACCTGTGTGTATGAGAGATTGGGTTGATGAGACAGTGAGATTAAAAAGAGGTGGGAAAGAGGAATCGACATTTGTGTGGAAAGGAAAGAGGACGCCAGAGGAAACTAGAGAGTTCTGGAGCAATGTCTTATCGGATTTAGAGGATCCGATAATTCATTTCCGGGTCTCCGACAGCCCCTTTAGGGATCCGAAATGTTGCAACCGTTGATTAAATGAGGGCTTTTTTTTAATTAAGAAATAATAATAATAATTTACTTTGTGAAAAAAATTCAGGGGACACGTATTGTACATTGGAAATATGTTGAAAAAATTTAATAAATTAAGAGAAATAAAAGTACGGTCAGGAGGGCCCATAAATGAAAGATCAAGAGTCTCATCACTGGAGTATCAAATAACTGAATTAAGCAAATACTGATCCATTAAAATGGGACCTGAAGTGACCAGACGTAGGTTGTCCGAGCCAAATAACAAGATTAGCCCAACTCTTGCCCCATCATTGATCGTCGTCTTATGAGAACCTCTAAGACTATTCATCAAAAGGTCGAAACCTACGGATCTTTTGTCAATGGGTGAGATACCTGCAAATTACAATGATTCAACCTCTGTCCGACAACCTAATCCCATCTCAATGACATAAGTTCCTTATTTAAGGGTCGATAATCAATAGTTGTACCAGAGTAGTCAGCCGACAAAATCATTTAGATTGATTAAAATACAGTCGAGCCGAAGATAATCAGAAGCCGACCGAAATCCACAACTTAACATAGTCAAATGAGCAAGCCTTGGAACAAGCCTTGTTAAACCAAGGCTTGTTCATCTCAACCAGTCGAGTAATAGGGTAGCTGAACCAAATACTTATTTATGTAAATACCTAAAATACTTTGTGCGTTCGTGTTCGGTTCGTTTACACCCCTAGTAGGAAGGTTATTATACATTTTTTACACCCTCTCTTCAGTAAAGGCTAACTAAAAATCCATTCACAATTTAATACCATTATTAAAACAATGGTAGGAAGATTATTATACATTTTTTACCCCCTCTCTTCAGTAAAGGCTAACTAAAAATCCATTTTGTCGTTCATTAATATGCACACAAACACACTCTCCCTTCCTCCTATTTTACGCTCTATTCTTTGATTGTGACTCTCGAACAAATTCAGATTCAACAAATATACAGAGTACTTAAAATATAACAAGTAACATTCATCATTGTTATATTTTTAGGAAAATTTACATGCATATCACCCCAATTCCTATATATCTACATATCTAATATCTAAGCTTCTTATATTTATATCACCCAAAGCTTTCCTATCACATAAAATTTATCTTTATTTTAACTTTTATAGAGTTAAATACACATTTTCAGGAATAAATAATGTGTCACGCATGTAAAAATTGAAGTATAGGCTCAAATATGTAAATACATATGAATTGAGTGGTTTGCATGTAAATCTTCATATTTTTAAATATAGAATATCTTAACTGAAGCATGTCGGAAAGTCTGTGACGATAGAGTAATGAATTGTTATCTTAGGCACCAAAACATACTCATGTAATAAAAAAAAGGAAGAAATGAGAGACACCTCGGCTTTTTATGTGAGAAACCCTAGAAAAGAAAAAAAAAACTATAGAGTCTAGCACAATTGAAAAAATATACCATAAATGGTGAGTACGCAAGCTCTCTCTTCTCCTAAATTAGAGATTGAGTTACAAGTTGATCATTGTAAATGCACAATAATAATTCATCGATAATAGTCGTAGTTCGACTATAATGAATGTAGTTCTCCGTGATTGCAACTGCAAATGTCATAGTCAATTCTTATGGAGACAATAATTTACCGTGAAAGTTGTAAACTGTGTTTGTAGTATTATAGAATATCTTAACTGAAGCATGTCGGAAAGTCTGTGACGATAGAGTAATGAATTGTTATCTTAGGCACCAAAACATACTCATGTAATAAAAAAAAAGGAAGAAATGAGAGACACCTCGGCTTTTTATGTGAGAAACCCTAGAAAAGAAAAAAAAAACTATAGAGTCTAGCACAATTGAAAAAATATACCATAAATGGTGAGTACACAAGCTCTCTCTTCTCCTAAATTAGAGATTGAGCTACAAGTTGATCATTGTAAATGCACAATGATAATTCATCGATAGTAGTCGTAGTTCGACTATAATGAATGTAGTTCTCCGTGATTGCAATTGCAAATGTCATAGTCAATTCTTATGGAGACAATAGTTTACCGTGAAAGTTGTAAACTGTGTTTGTAGTACCAGTTTGTCGCATAGGTTATAGTTAAAAGTCATGATATTGGTTGACCATGTGGGTCGCAGATGGTTGCTTAAGGAGCATTGATTGGTGTAAAAGCTATAACAATGGTTTGCTATAATATGAAGCTATAAAAGTCATGAGCCATGTAGATTATAGTTGGTCACATAGGTTGTAGTAGTAAGCTATGATGACGTCATAATAATACAAAGACCAGAGTCGAGAGCTACATGAGTTGTGGTTCTGTGGACCACATAGATTGCGATGAGTCATGTAGAATATAATGGTGAGTTGAGATGATATCCACAGGTCGCAAAATTCAGAGTCAGAAACTGCACGAGCTATGGGCCATATAGACCTTAGTTAGCATGTATGTCGAAGTGGTGAGCTGCAATGATGTTCATAGGCTTCAGAGGGAAGGATAAGAAGCTACACAAGTTATGGTCTGTGTAGGGCATATTTGGTCACATATGCCGTAATGATGAGATGTGATTAAATTCGTAGGCCGTAAGGGTTGGAGTCTGGAGCTGCACGAGCTGTGAACAACATAAGTCATAGTTGGTCACACAGACTATAGTGGTGAGCTCTAAAGACGTCCGTAGGCTATAAAGGCCAAAGTTGGGACCTGCGAGTTGTGGATCAAGTAGGTCATAGTTGGTCACATAGGCCGTAGTGGTGAGTTGTGATGACGTCCATAGGCCGCAAAGATCGAATTAAAGTGTTGCACGAGCTATGAGCCGTGTAGGTCGTAATTGGTCACGTAGGTCGTAGTGGTGAACTGTGATGACATCTATAAGCTGCATAGGTCAAAGTCAGGTTTGTAAGAGCTGTGAGTCAAGTATGTTGTAGTTGGTCATGTAAACAGTAATAGTGAGATGTGATGATGTTTATAGGCTATCGGGGCCAGAGTCGAGACTTGCGTGAGCTCTGGACCACACATGTCGTAGTTGGTCTTGTAGATCGTAGTAGTGGGTGGCAAGGAGAGAGCTCTAGCAGTCCGGAGAAAGTCACAATCTTCGCGGTGCACTGTTACACTATATTCAGGAGGCATCGTAGAGTGTACATGGGAAGCATTGTTACACCATCATTGGGGTGTGTGGTTGCATTGTATTCAGGTGCATTGTAAGACCGTCTTTAAGAGTCTTTGTCGTATCGTGTGTAGGGAGTGTTGTTACATAGTTATCGGAGTGCATTGTTGCACCGTATTCATGATCTGTCATTACAAGACATTAGACGACGTATTGCTCCCTCAAATGCTTCACTATTCTGCAACATACACTGAGATTCCACAGTGCACTTTGTGATTTTACAAAGAACATCGCTGCAAGGAGTAGGTGGTAGCCGATGGAGTTCAACAATGATCGGTTAAAAAAGCAGGAAGCATTTATCAGGCCGTCGATGCAAAATACTACACTCCAGCCCCTTCTCCAAGCTTTGTTCCTCTGACTCAAGGTTTAAGTCCCCTTTTCAAGAGGTGGTGGGATTCTATTTAAGGAATCTAGATCACTCTGATAAGCTGCCAAGGATGTTCCCTTAATCGGTGTTCTGATGACACTAAAGTGTCTTAATGATGTCATCATGATTGATCTTGGGCTTGTTGGCTTCATCTTATCAAAGCGCTCTATTTGACCATACGCTTACCAACTTCAAAATCTATTTAACCTTCCAATTATGTATTGAAAGCTTTTAAAAGAAGTTAAAACAGTTTAATTTGGGCTTGATTTGACTTAGATCGGCCAAATTTTATTATCATTGCACCAGTCTTGTCAAGCCAATCAGTTTGACTGTAAGCTTCCCAAAAACAAAATTCGAAAATTTTAATCAAAGTGTGAACATTCATTGCTTAAAAATTTATCTTGAGATTCATGTCTGATTATAATTTTTTAATGGCATGTTTAATTTAATTTTAGAGTATAAATCCATTTAAAATTGTTATAGCTTTATGTGCAAGTTATTCTAAGATTGTTGTACAAAAAATCTTATAAACAAAAATATAGTACCCAAGAAGAGATTTTTGAAAAACCATCGCCATAATTATGTTTGGAGAACTCTTTTTATGCTACTTATTATTAAAAGTTTATGTGAGAAAATATTTTTTCTGTTAAATTTTATTAAAGTTAAAAATTCAACCTAATGCTTACATATTGAGAACCAACTTGTTCTTCATAAAAGCTCAATTTTGTCACCCTAATATGTGCATACCATCATAAATATATCATTTTAAGGACCCCTTGAAATCCACTTGGACTACTCATAAGTTGGCCAACTAACCCGAGCCATACCAACTTCGGTTCTTTTTACTCCTATTCTTTCACACGACTTCATCACCTCTCCTTAAGACAACTTACTCTGAGAAGCTGTTAAACCTCAGTCGGGTTGTAGTGAACGCCAGGATTTGTGATAATTTCATTTAGCGAAACAACACCTACTAAATATCTCCCGAAGTTGTTCGTATGAACGAAAATTTTTCACCATTTTAGACAGCGGAAGACCTACTCAGTTCTATTAATGTGCCTTTCAAAAGAACTTTACTGAACCGCGAAACTGCTTCAAATGAACCCTAATTAACACATTAATCATGCAATATCTCAGCCCTCCAACACAGACTCAAATTATAAGAAGAAAGTGAGATTAGGGAATATATATATATAGTAAAAAAATAATAGTATTCAGTGATATAAAAGATTTAGATGATATAAGATATGTAAACATATCAGAATTGGGTGGTGTGTATACAAAAGGCTTTGATAAATATGATTTGGGCCATTTTTATAAGATGTTAAAAAGGAAATGAATTTGATTATTGAGATGAATATACCTTCAAATCATTTAAAATTAAGCAGCAAGACTAATTTGATATAAAAGATTTAGATGATATAAGATATGTAAATATATCAGAATTGGGTGGTGTGTATACAAAAGACTTTGATACATATGATTTGGGCCATTTTTATAAGATGTAAAAAAGGAAATAAATTTGATTATTGAGATGAATATACCTTTAAATCATTTAAAATTAAGCAGTAAGATTAATTAAAGGCATTACAATCTCATAACAAAGAGAGCTTAATTAGCTCCTTATGCTCGAAAAAATGTGAAAACTTCTGAATATAATATAAAATAAAATATTAAAAAAAATCAGTCCGACCGCCTTTTCCCAATCTAACAAAGTTTCTCAGGTTGTAACACCGTCAAAAATAAATATTATGTCCAGTAAATCAGACATGCAGATAACAGCGTGCATCGCATCACGAAAAGCATTCGGCGGCGTGATGCGATCCACGCTGTCGTTTGCAAGTTCATCGTCCAAACATAAAATTTTCTCCACCCTCAGACCCTACCTGAATCAAAACTACACAAAAGAATTCCCCTAATAATTGCATCATATCGCAAAAATAGCATTAAGCAAAAGCAAAACAACATATGCAACCCACTTGGCTTAGTAATATGGTTTTTTTGTCCCTAACAATTAAGTTTTGCGTTCAAAATTTAGTATATTAACACAGACCATTTTCCATGCACAAATACTCCACTTCTCTCTTCAGCTCATAAAATCAAACAAATTCTCTGATTACATACCACTAAATTCTTATGTATTTACCTATCTAACACCTAAAACTTACCTTTTACATTTATAACACCCAAATCTTTCATATCACATAAGAAAAGACCACCATTTTAACTTCTAAAAAGTGAAAGATGCCTTTTTAACTTACAGGTAAAGTGCATGTGCATATTCTCTTCATGCATAAAACTATGAGACCAGCTCCATAAATGTAAATATGAAAGTTTATGTGCTAAATATGTAAATACATAATTTTTATAGGTATGTAAATTCATTAAGAAAATATCAATCAAATCGCATCAAACTGGGCTGATAAAATTTACATATCTGGCACCAAAACATTTTACATGTATATCACCAAAACCTTCCATATCACATAAAAAATGCCACTATTTTAACTTACATATATAAGTGGCATGTACATTTTCTCATGCAAAGATTTATGATACTAAAGTCCTATAAATGTAAATATCAATTTTAAGTGCTAAACATGTAAATGCATAAGAATTGTGTGGTAGATAAGTAAATTTCATTAAATAAATATCAATCAAATCGCGTCAAACTCATAACAAAATTTCAGGCTAAAGAAGATCTTAGCAGGCTTACCTGCTCTTCAAAAATTGAAGTATTCAGCCACAGCTGGGAAGCAGCTTTTGCATCATAAGACAGAGATGAAGAACCCATTCTTCTTCCCCTTCCTCCAAAGAAATACTCTCCTGATACATTCTGAAAAATAGAAATAAAACTATGGCATGAGCAAAAATATTCAATTTTAATACAAGGAATCATCAAAGTAACAAAATTGGAAGAATTACATACAAACCACTTAATGCCTATGTATTTACAAATCTAACACCAAAAATAACTTCAATTTTTACATATATGCCAACTTCACTATGAATGAAAAGGTGTATTTTACTTTTTTGTAAGATTTAGGTGACAGAAATGTAAAATGTGAAATTTGGGGGTTAGATATGTAAAAACATAGGAAATTGGTGGTATCTATGTAAATGCCCCCAAAACTGGAAGATTTATGTACATAGCACTTAATTCCAATGTATTAACATATCTAACACCAAAATAAAAAACCTCAATTTTTACATATAGCTATTTTTGATGTGATATTAAAGATTTAGGTGACATAAATGTAAAAAGTAAAGTTTAGAGGTTAGATATGTAAAAACATAGGAAATGAGTGGTATGTATGTAAACGCCCCCAAAATTGGAAGATTTATGTACATACCACTTAATTCCAATGTATTTACATATCTCTCATAAAAAAAACAAAAACCTTAAAATTTTACATATAGCCAACTTAAAATTCCAATGTATTTACATATCTCTCATAAAAAAAAACAAAAACCTTAAAAGTAAAAAAACAGTATTTTTTATGAGGTACGATAGATTTAGGTGACCTAAATGTAAAAAAGTAAAGTGTAGAAGTCAGATATGTAAAAAAATGGGAAATGGGTGGTATGTATGTTAATGACCATAAAATTGGAAGATTTATGTACATACCACTTAATTCCAATGTATTTACATATCTCTCATAAAAAAAAACAAAAACCTTAAAAGTAAAAAAACAGTATTTTTTATGAGGTACGATAGATTTAGGTGACCTAAATGTAAAAAAGTAAAGTGTAGAAGTCAGATATATAAAAAAATGGGAAATGGGTGGTATGTATGTTAATGACCCCAAAATTGGAACAAAAATGGGAAATGGGTGGTATGTATGTTAATGACCATAAAATTGGAAGATTTATGTACATACCACTTAATTCCCACGTATTTACACATCTATCACCAAAAAAAGCTTCAAGTTTTACATAAATAAGAATGAAAAGGAGTATTTAACATTTCAAAAGTTAAAATAGTGGTATTTTTGATGTGGTACGAAATATTTAGCTGACATAAATGTAAAAAGTAAAGTTTAGGGGTTAGATATGTAAAAAAATAAGAATTGGGTAGTATGTATGTAAATGCCCCAATGAGATTTTCATGACTCACAGAAGGTGCCAATGCAGCGTCTATGATTGAAGAAGCACCAGCTTCAGGAGATTGGAGAAGGTGCAAGAAGCTCAGGACTCTGAAAGCAAGCTGTGAAAGGCATGAAGGAACTTCCCGTAGTATGTTGGTGTGAACCACTCCCGGATCAACAGGGCTGGTAGAAGATTTTTATTCAGTGCTATAGGGTTACATAAGCCTTGAAGGAGGAAATACTATTCTACTCTGGAAATCTACGGTTGGCTTTATGGGAGTAACAAACATTTAGAGGTATAAATTTTATGCTGCAAATAATAGAATTTAATCATAGTGATATGTCATGAAGAATCCACATAATCAGCAAGAATTTTGAAGGAAGTAGAATAAGAAAAATTTTAGAAAAGCGACCAAGTTGGCTCTGATTTCAACAAATTTATAGTCAAATTGAGGACCTTGATAATATAAATCCAATAATATTAAAAGTGATCCAAGCCCAAATGAGCTCCAATCAAGCACTCAAAGTATGATTGAAAACTTCGAAGCATTAGTTAAATATAGTCAAATGATCTTTAAATTTGTCATGTTTATAGTCAAATAGAGCATCTCGATGAGAAGATTTTAACGAGCTCAATATAACTTAACTTTGAGATCAGTAGGGCACTTAAAAGGTGAAATAATGATCTACGACCAAAGGAATTAACACAAATCATCTGATGGAGTATTTTGGGATTTTGGCTATATTTACAAAAATGCCCTTTCAAAACCCTATAAATAGGGGGGCCTAAGAGCTAAGAGCTACACACTTTAAGAAAGCGGAAAGAAGATGACCGCCAAAGATCGTCGCCAACCACCATTAGTGGCTATTGTAATACAATTATTATTCTCGAGTGGTTGTTGCCCAATCTTCATAATTCAGTCGGAACACTGTAACCATAAAATTTTTTATATAAATAAATAGTGAAATGTTTTACATTGAAACATATATTGAATTATTTTACTTAAGTCAAATTTCGTGGGTGGCTGCAGTGATATATTGAGTCAAAATTGTTGATACATTGATTTATCGCTCTCCCCACTATGAATTTTCCAACACGCAACAAAGAAAAATCAAAATAAAAATAAGATAAAATTGGAAAAATCGCTTGTGAGAATGGGGGATGTGGGTGGGGAGAGTTTATATTATTATTATTTTTTTTTTTCATTATGCGCATATAGCATGCTATAGAATTTTTTTTTTTTTTTTTTTTTTGTCTCCATCGCACTTAAGCTACACAGTGCAAACACAGTTTCATAGTGGTTGTGGGTTAAGGACTACTTTGTTTTGAGATTTTTGTTCACCAATAAATAATCCTATTCAATTATCAGTGCTCACTTCCTTTACTACTCTCTTATATATCCTCATTTTCAAACTATTTGCAATCCTCAATCACTAATCGAAACATTTTTCATTGGATATTTTTCTTTTGGCGGCATATTATTCTTCTATAGTGACAGTAAATAATTTTAAAATATTTTCTTACTTATAAATATATACTTTTTTCAAGTTAAAATATAACCTAATAAAATTTTCAATATTTTAACCTTAGTTTCTCTAATTAAAATATTTTCACCCTACAAAAATAATCATTCAATAATTTATCACAACTAAAATTTAACCGATGCTAACAATACATTTATACTCAATCATCAAGCTAAAATGTCATTCATATTAATTTACAATTGTGCTAAAGTTATTTCATTGAAATCAATTTATATCAAAATCAATTTTTATTAAATCATTTATTTTGTTAAGATGTGTTGCTAAATTTATTTTGTCAGGATAATTTTTTAAAAAATTATTATAGGTGAGATTTTTTTTTTATTAAAATGTATTATATGCTAAAATTTTACTTATTAAATATGGACTTGTATTGAATCTACACATACTAAATTTCATGTACTAAGATTAATATGATACTTTTTTTTTAATTGCTTAAACTTTTATGTTAAATCAATCATTTTCATGATGCATATCACTTGAATAAAATGTAAAATTTAGTTTGATTATGAGCAACCACTTAGGAGAGGTCTCTTCTTCTCCTCTAGTAGGACTTGAATCCGATTGAAGATTTTTTCTTCTCAAGCAAACTCCTACAAAAATGCCCAAAGCGGTCGTTTATCCATCCTACCTGATCATTTGTTAGGGGTACATTGTTGAATAGATTTTAACACCCAATTAATTCCATATAGTCTTCCAGAAGTAGCACAAAAGGGCCTCATCTTTGACGCGTTCGACCTCCTCAGTAGGGACAACTCCGAAAGGAGCCTACCAGCTTTAAAAGTTTTAATTTGTTTTATCTGGGGTTATCGAGTGTTCGGTGTCGATTCTTCGGACTTAGGACAACCTTGAACCACCAATATGAATTTTATTAGCCTCCCTTATGGCCTCAGCTTGAAGTTTTCCTGCCTCATTAGTTGAGGCCCTTCTTCTTTGTGTCATCATCTTCTTCAGTATCCACTGTGTCATTGCCCATTTCTTCAATAACTTCATGCTCAATGAAATATATCATCCCTTTGGTTGTAAAAATTTCTTCAATATGCCCAAATCCGTGACACTTGAAACACTTTCTTGCTATGAAAGATTTAGGAATGTCGATTCGCTCCACACGTCCTCAACTATGAATCAGTTTCTCCTTAGGCGGGATCGGCTTGAATGTTCCCCCAGGTTCTGAATATAAGATCCTGGGATTGAACTCTGCCTGTAAGATGTGGTAGTCGCCCGATGAGTTCTCTCTCCACTTTTAAAACTTGAGTCCAAACATCTGATTTGTCTTGAGCTAGTAGGAACTTGCGTTGCATCTCTCATTTCATCTGGGGGCCAGATAGTAATTTTACTTTTCCCTTCTCGTTGTCGAAGAACCTTCAAGTTCACCCACCACTAAGATGCAATATTCCTCAACTTGTTGGCGGCTAGTTTCGCCATTTCATCCGATGGGATGCATTGGCAATCAAAAATACATTATAAGGTCCAAAGCCACTCGACAACCTCATCCTGATCCATGTGTCCATAGAAATATGAAAAATATGTTTTTTTACTTTAAAATTATGGCTTCTCAGATATTTCAAATCAAGTCTTTAGGATAAAGGTTATTCATCCCTGATATCCGTATGGTGTAAGAGATTCATTCCATTCCTTCGATCTAACAAGTTACTGTTATGGCTATGGGTGACCCATTTTGATGGTCTCCTTTCCTCAATTTCATCGAACCATTGTAGCACTCGACGGAGTTGTCGTTGTCTCTTCCATGATAAACTCCGGATCCGTGTTCTGTTTTTATCTCTTCGGTGGTATGATTAGGATTTTGATTTGAGTAGAAAGGAGGGGGTATATAAAGATGTAGGGTGGGAAAAAAAATTTATGGGTAGAGATATGGGAGATTGCAGAAACCCTAGGGTAGGACTAGGATTAGGTTGAATGTCTGATACCAAATAATATCGAAGTTAACCTAAACCACAATAGGAAAAACAAATAAGTATTTACAATCAAATACACCTGAAGAAAAACTACAACAAATACGACACAAACTCACACTCGATCTACGGGTGGTGGGATCTACGGGTGGTGGAGGTTTACGACACAAACTCACACTCGATCTACGGGTGGTGGGATCTACGGGTGGTGGAGGTTAGCTAGGCGGTCGGGGAGAAGAGATAAGTGGCTGAATGGGTTGTAGGTGGTTGGGACAGCAAAAGGAAGGGTTGGAATAGTGTTGGAAGCAAAGCAGAGGGCTAGGACAGCGAGGGCAGCAAGAGAGGTGGTAAGCAAGGCAACAAGGCACGGTAGGAAAGGCCGGAACGGCCAAGGGACAAAAAGAAAATAACAGGTTTGTTATTTTCCGGATGACGACAGTGAATGGGTGAAGCGGGGGGCTGCAGGACAGCAAAGGAAGGTTGTCTGGGGCGGTGGCGAACAAGAAGGGCTAGAATGGGAAGACTGCATTAAGAAAAAACGCAAACAAGTGTTGTTCAGGGTGGCTGCAACTATGGAGGATGGTCGAGAGAGCCGTAGTGGAAGATGTAAAAGTAGATAGAGAAGATAACCACCACCTCGGGAAAGGGATACAACTAGAGCACCACTCAATCCCTTAGATACAACCCCTGAACTGGTTCTATCCTATACAGTTCAGATGCATAAATCTCAATCTATTGTGGGAGCATTGGTTGGGCCTCCCAAGTCTGAACTGGTTCTGTCCAAATGATAGAATCACAGGACACCACACCTGCGCACTGTGGCAAAAGTCACCGAAGAAAAGAGAGGGGGGTTTCCCGCATCAACAACTTTCTTAAAGCTACGACGACATTATGATAGATTCGATTGTAAAAGGCCACTTCTCAACACCAATTTTTTTAAAAAAATAATAAGCAAAATATTGGCCAAACATACGTGTGGCTTCCCCAAAGAGTCACCATTAATTGTATGAATGTTGGAATGGAGTAACTAAAATAAACAATGTGCAATATATAAGCATGTATGACTATAATCTCATACCAACAATTAAGCTTTGAAGGAGGAACAAAAATCAAAGCGGGATTTAACCATGCTGCACAAAAGGACAACAATCCTAAGCTTGTACCATATCAATGTAGAGTTCTACACTTACATAATGGAAATTTTGGATGACAGATTTTCTGCACGAAGTCTACGGTGGAGTTCATATGAAAAAAGCAATAAACACACTGCAAAACATAGAGAATGGAGTCAGAAGTAAGGTAGAATGAGAGCTACTCTACCACATGTATCTCTCACATAGCTTACACTTAGAGTACTCATAGATAGAAGCAAAAGGATACTTCTCCGAGATAGTATTGCGACTAAATTTTTTGCAATCAATCTTCATATTAGATGCTGCAATATAAACAAAGTGAAGCTTTCTGGTAAATAATTTAAGAGATCATAAACAGTAAACTTTAAAACTTGAATTTCACATTTAAAGCAAGTAGTTTTGATGCTATTGATGAAACAAATCTAAAAAACATAAATAAAGAAAATCAGAAATTTATCATCAAGTAACGTCACTAACTCTTTGATACATTATAACAAACAGATAAAGAGGAACTCCGTGATTTCCAAAGCAAATGTTTCAATGTCATAGAACAGTTGTAAGTCAAAGAGAGCGTAAATTAGGCTTCTTAAAGTAATATAAGAAACTCCCTGATTCTTTGCAAGAAGGCCATTTTAGTCCTCGAGTCTATAAAAATATCAATTTAATACCAAGAATACTTTCAAGGGGCTAAAATAGTTCCTCCCCCCCTCCCCCCAAAGAAAACTTTTTTAGCTCATGTTAAAAGAATGTGGGGATTAATTTGACATTTTTATACACTCATAGACTAAAATGTTCTAATATAAATAGTCAGGGACTATTTAACACTTCACAGTTTTGTATAATAATAGTGCTATATCATTACAGATGTAAATCAATGCTCACCACAAAGATGGGTAAAAGATGTTACATTAACAATTCGAGAAGGTAGGGAACTGTTCTTGATCAAAGGAAGTAGAAGACTAGTCAGCACAACAGCACTGATAAAATTTGTCTGGATCATCCTGAATAAGCAAATAGTAAGTCATGAAGAAGTTAAGGCCTCTATGGACCAAAGCTTTTACAGACTAATTTTCTTAACCTAAGATCACACAAGCAAATGCAGGACAAAAATTATATGAAGCATTGTCCACTCTGCACATAAAATCAATTAATTTATAAGAATACTTACATGAATACAGCTTAATTCCTATATATTTACATATCTAACACCTAAGCTTCAATTTTTACATATATGTCATCTTACCTATACATAAAAAGCTGTATTTTTAAAAGTTAAAATAGTGATATTGTTCAGAAATAATTACATACATAGCACCCGAAACGTCGCTATTTACAAAATCTAGCACCCATTTGATATTTTTGAAACAAATGTGTTTACTTGTGTCATGATCAAACCAATAAAAATTTTATAAAAATGAAAAATATGGGTTGGGGATTTATCATGAATCTTGATATTTCAGTGAGAATTCAAAAAATTGATGAAAGTGGGTGCTAGATTTGTAAATAGTAATATTTTGGTTGATATGTATGTAATTGCCCCTGTTTTCTATGTGATATGAAAGATTTGGTATCCTAATTAATAATAAAATTCGTAATATTATACAAAATAAAATTTGAGAAATATACTGGTCATATCCATCAGCAGTTATTCTGGAAGATGTAGCTAATATCCCAGCATTGTTAATAAGAAGTTGAACCGAAGGATGGAGATCTGAATCAAGAAGCCATTGTTTAAAGGAAGCTTCAAACTTTACAACTGATTGAAGAGATGACAAATCAACCTGGAACGTTGTTAGATGAGCTTCTTCATACTCTTGCTTAATTTCCTGAATGGTCTGTTAAAATTTAGAGGCATTTACATATATATCACACAATTCTTATGTATCTACGTATCTAACACCTAAACTTTAATATTTACATTCATAAAACCCAAATCTTGAACAACAAGTCCAAATTATCACTTTAGAAACTTTTTAAAAGTCAAATGAACCTTTTAATGCATAGGTTTATAGCATCAAGGTGTTATAAATGCAAATATTAAACTTTAGGTGTTAGGCATGTAAAACTATAAGAATTGTGTGATGCTAATGTAAATTCCCAAAAATTATAGAGGAGATCAGTAGAAGAGCATCGCTTATGATCAGTAGATTTAGAGTAAATTCTTCGAACAGAACCAAAACATACCCTGTATAAAGATTCAGCACAACGCCCAGCTGTTTGCCACAAGCAATAAATTGACCGTTAAAACATATTTCCAAAAAATTCTGTTCGGTAAAAATATAAACTTCAAATAAAAAGTAAAAAAAAAAAGGATATTCATAGCATGTACAAACTAGAACTTGTGAAAATGGCTTGTTGTGAGAAAAAACGGGAGCACTGGATGCAAGGCCAGGTAATACAAGAGAGGGAAATTTAAGCTACAAACTCTTGTACTTCATTTCTTAAGTACTAAAATCTCAAAGCTTCTTTTGCTGCCATCTTTTCCTCTCATTTCTATTCATTTTTCCGAAATTGCTTGTTTATAGATGGTGTGAGTTCATGGAATTTCTATGATCCAACAAAGGGATTCATGAAGTAAAAATCTACATTCCTGGGAAGCCAAAATATCTCAATAAAGATTTATTTCCCAAAAATAAAGTTTCATGTAATTAAAGTAGTTTTAGGACAAAAGATTCTTGCTAAGAAACTACGATTTACACTCACTTCTTGGAGGAAATTAATTAGGCTGTAAGAACCATAAGTTATGATATCTTTCTAGTTACCACTGTTTAGCTGGTTATTCAGCTATAATAATCATATATAATTTGAATAACCTGTCCATTCCTTTAGACAAGGGTTGCTCCCTATACTATTCATGCTTCCAGCAATATTGTACAATCAAGAATGCTCAGTAAGTAATTGAAGTCGATCATTTGTTGCCGTTACTTAGTAGTATTCTATTGAAATGTACTTCACTCTATGCAAGAAAAAGATTCCTCGAAAAGAACAAAATCTTAAAATAGCTGTGATGTATTGATCAACTCTTTATAGTCTCAAAGCAAACCGGTTTATAATCATTCTTAAAATAGAAAAGTGTCCAAATCGTTACATGACTCATTGTAGGAGGTCGTTATAGTCCTAGAGTCTATAAAAGTGTTAATTTAGTCACCAGACTCTTCTAATGGGAGCTAAAATAGTCCTCTCTGGAGACTATCACAACCGATATTAAAAGTGTATGAAGAATAACTTGACACTCTGAAAGACTATGAGACTAAAATGGCCACATGTAAATAGTCAGTGACTATTTTGACATTTTACTCGTTTTTAAAATCTTAAATATGGCCTCATAATTATAGTTTTATTGATTTTGTAAAGTGGAGCATGCCATTGTGAATTGAGAGAGGTTGCTAACCAAAACTGATATTTGTATTTTATGACCAATGATTGAATCTTCTTAACAAGACTGTTTGCTTAGTTGCCCCTTCATTACCATCCAACAAAGTAAAGTTTGCAAGAAGCCCTAATGCAATAGAGTTTTGATGATAAGTGAAGCAACATTCCATCAGTCTTTTATTTTTCTCAAAACATTTCTATTCCTATGATTTTACAAGTTTTTTTAGTGTTACATACAGTAAAAAGAGCTGTAAATCCAGATAAGTAGAATGCATATTTTATAAGAGAATTTACATACATACCACCCAAGTCCCGTGTACATACCACCCAAGTCCCGTGCATTTACATATCTAACACCTAAACTTTACTTCTTACATTTATACCACCAAAATCTTTCATATGATATAAAAAGTACCACAACTTTAAAATTTAAAAAGTGAAATACACCTTCTCATTCATAGGTAAGGTGGCATATAGGTAAAACTTGAAGTTTAAACGTTGGATGTGTAAATACATAAGAATTAAGTGGTACGTATGTTAGTCTTCCGATTTTATAATGAAACAACAGAGAACCAAATGCCAATCCATCTTAAAGCTAATGGCCAGGATAAGTTTAATCTGATACTCGGTAATAATGATGGAGAAAACAACATGAATGTCTCATTAAAGATAGAAATTTGTTATGCCTGAAACATTTTTAGAGCTCATTACTCTTTTCCTATTTTATGCTTTATTTTGATTCTTTTATCTCCAAGTAATTAATATGAATTGATTAATTGAAGATATAGGTATTATATCTTTTTTCTTTTTTCTATTCTAGGATTCATGTAAAAGTTATTTATACGTTCATTTCATATCAATAATATTATTTTGCATTATTAAGAATGTCAACATGGTTTTAGAGTCAAATTCTCTACCCTAATCATTTGTCCTCCTTCCAAAGCCACGGACTCCCTTCCTGCTATCCTCCCTGCGGGAAGGGAGGGATGCTCTTCTCTTGCCTTAGGTACAACAACCAAAATTGCCGCTTGAAAAGGCGACTTTTACTTTTTGTCTGGCAGCCATCAACACCAGATCCCCTCCCAGATTGCCGCAAACCTGTCTGCTGCAGGAACTAGTTGCTGGAGTCGAACACTGCGGACAAAAATCTAGCTCTTCCCTAATCTTGCTTTCACATGAAAGTGAATCCCTGTGAAAGAATCTCTCGATAACTTCCTGCAAGCCCGTGAAAGCATCTCCCATGAACTTCCTGCAGGCCTGTGAATCTCCCAGCACATACAGTGTGGCTTCCCTGTAGCCTCCTCGTGAGATTACCTGGAGGAAAATTCTTGTAGCTGGCCCCCTTCTAGCAGCTGGCTAAATCTCCTTCCAGTTGTTTTCTTCCCAACAGCTCTTTCTCCCATGGAGATCTTCACAGCAGCTTTCTTTCCAGCAGCTCTTTCTCCCATGGGATTGTCCCAACAATTTTCTTCCCAGCTGGTTTTTCTCCTGTTGAGAACTATTAAAGGTTTTTCTGAAGGCAGCCAGCCGCTTATCCCTTCGATAGGTGTTTTAGCCGTCGGACCTCCCTCCAACCGGCCGATCTCCCTCCAAGACCGTCAAAGCACCTTCCTCCACCCAAATCTATCCCATGCAGGACCTCCCCCCGTCAGCTCTCTCTCCTGCAACCTTTCCCGCCGCAGGAACTACATTCTGCAAACTTTTCAACCGCTGGAACCTTCACGTACAGGCAGAAAAAGATCCTCTCCTTCCTGCAGGCTTCTTTAGTGGAGATGCATCTTCCTGCAGTGTTTATGCTGCATGTGGATCTCCTTACTGGCGAGGATGTAAATTCCTGTAAACAGTCGTAACTTCTACCGGCAGCCCTCATCCTCAGCAAGCCCTACTCAGCCACTCTTCATGGATGAACCAACATCAGGTCTTGATACAAGAGCAGCTACCATTGCCATGAGAACATTGAGAAACAATGTCAACACAGGAAGAACTGTTGTCTGTACCATCCACTAACCAAGCATCGACATATTCAAATCCTTGGATGAGTTACTTTTGCTTAAAAAAGGGGGCCAAGCAATATTTTCTAGACCGTTGGGCAAGGATTCTCAGAAGCTAATAGAATAATTTGAGAAAATTTTTGGAGTTCAGAAAATCGATGATGGAGCCAACCGAGCAGCATGGATGCTGGAAACAAGTTCTATCGCCACAGAAGCAAAATTAAAAATTGACTTTGCAGAGATATACAAATCTTCTCCACTGCACAATTGAAATATGGCATTAGTTGGAGAGTTTAGCAAGCCATTACCTGGCGCGTTTGATCTTTACTTCTAAACCGAATATGCCCAATCCAGTTCTGGCCAATTCAAAATCTGCGTATGGAAGTACAGATCAACATATTGGAGGACTCTGGGGTACAATCTAGCAAGACTAGGCATGGCCTTTGTCAATTATCTCTCTGGGGAGCAATGTTCTTTGTTGTAGAATTTATGAGCTTTGTCAGTTGCTCTACAGTTCTGCCATGTTCCACTGATTCTCCAGAATTTTTCCGGCAGCAGGCCCTCCTCAGAAACTTTCCTGCAGCACGCCCTCCTCCAGAGTTTTTTTCTGCAACAGATCCTCCACCATAATTCTTCTTACAGCAGAGCCTCCTCTGGAACCTTTTACTGCATCAGACTCTCCTGTGGAGATTTTTTCTGCATCAGGCCGTCCTCCAGAGTTTTTTTCTGCAGTAGGTGCACCACCGGAATTCTTCCTGTAACAGACCCTCCTCTAAAGCATTTTTTTGCATCAGACCCTCCTCCGAAACATTTTCCTGTATCAGACCCTCTTTCGAAGTTTTTTCTACAGCGGATCCTCTACCAGGATTCTTCTTGTAGCAGACTCTCCTCCTGAGCTTTTTCCTGCAATAAGACTTTTTTTTTTTTTTTTTTTTTTTTCTGCAAGCCGTAAATCTTTTCCTATTATATGTTTATTTCTCTGCAAACTTTCCTGCAGCATTACCTGCAGAAGTTTTCCGCCTACCTACAAGAACAACAGAAATTGTAGTGAAAGATAAGAGCATTCAACTAAATAGCTTGAGGTTGATTACCAAGCACTGGATAAAGACATCTAGTTCGACCTACAAAGATTTTTTCTCGCTATTATTTTATGTTTTCAAATTCAAGTTGAACATGGCTTTCAACATTGTTTCAACTTGAGGGAGACTGTTAGAAATTATATTAAAAAATAATTTATTCCTGCTAGAAGTTATGAGGACTAAATTTTTTTCCTTGAATTAGAGTTATTTTCTGTCTTATTTTACGCTCTATGTAGTTTCCTTTATCTACAAGTATTTAATATAAATTGATTAATTGGAGATATAGATATTATATCGTTTATTTCCTGTTATTTCTTTTTTATTGTCTTTTCTTTCTAGGATTCATGTAAGAGTTATTTATAACCCTATTTCATATCAATAATATTATTTCGTATAATGTTGGACTTCAACACAAGATATAAAGAAACTTAAGATCCCCATCTTTTCAACCTTTATGTTGTCCTCTCCAATAATCAAAACTTTTCCTTTGATGTCCTCATGCCCAAGCACCAAGTTCTAGCACCTTACTCAATATTTGAACTGAACTTTCTAGACCATCACACTTCAAAGGAACCATTTTGAAAAGGAAAATTTAAATTAGTAGCACAAAATTCTTATGTATTTACATATCTCAAACCTAAGCTTTCATATTTACATATATAGCACTTTGGTCCTTTAAACCTATGCATTGTTTTTATTATTGTTTTATTATTTTTTATTTTACACTTTGGTCCTTTAAACCTATGCATTGTTTTTATTTATTATTTTTTA